CCGCACAGGGTCCACGAAGCACATGCGCCGCAGGGGCACCTTCTGGCTGCAGCACCTGTCACAGAAGCACTTCCCGCAGCGGCGGCAGTGGTGCTTTCTGGTGATGAAGTCAAACTTAGCTTCACACTGCATGCATCTTGAGCACTCCTTGTCCGGGACCCACTGCGGCTCCTCCAGGCCGAACGGGCTTCCGAAGGCTCGGTGCTCGGGTACCATGCGCAAGCCACTGGGGGAGCGCACTAGCTTCTTGTGGTCGCGGTGCGCGGCCACCCCCGAGGACATGTCGCCACCTCAAGCCCTCTCGCCGCCGCCCAGCATCTCAATTTTTAATTCTATGTTCTGGTGTGCCAGACTGACAGCCCACATAAAATCTCTGTCAGAAACAGCAGAACCTCAAAACAGGCCTGTGCTGATATGATGGCTGTGTGGCTCCCAGCATCATCACTCTGTGGTAATATGGACCCGCATGCTGATACGTTTCTTGGCATACCCGCCTCTTCTTTATCGTGATTTCCTTGGAGATGGGGATATTTTATTCTCTTTTCATACTTACAAGAAACTAACACCATATAGGGCCTGTGAGATACTCACGTAAGAGGTTTAGATAAAGTCTGCTGAATAAAAGGAGTTAAGATCAAGGAGAGATCTTTATGGTTACAAGCCCTTCTAATGAATTGGTAACATTTCAGTTTAAAGGCCTATTTTATAGATATAGGAAAATAACTCCTGTAATGAACTAAAATACATAGTACAGTAAAATATACACAAATACCTGTTTTCCAGCTGTACATACTCAATTTAAAGGTAGCTAAAGTTGTTACCTTCTGTATGCCCTACTACCTGTCTAGACTTCGGCTATTGCTAATCTGGTCCCTGATACTGGCTGGGATTGGGAAGAATGACAATCTGGAAATGCTAAGAGGAAGAATGGGAAAAGAATAAGAAGATATTCCCAAGAATGACATAAGACAAAGCTGAAACCAGATCTTCAGGTATTACTGGACAATATTTCTGAGAGTAGAACCAACACTAGAACTCCCATATTATCTTTTTTTCTACAGAATGAACTATGCAAACATAAATGTTCTATATAGAGTACAAACTCACTACATAAGCCAAGGATAAGAAACACAAAAGGGCTTTGGGCAGCCAAAGTTTACTTATGAATACTAACAAGGTGATCAGCAGAACCTAACTAAGCCAAGGTCATTGTTTTAGGTTCATTTCAGGAAGCAGAGTGATTTGAGTTTCTTCTACTCCATAGAAGACCAGAAGCTGTATAACATTCCAACTCCTGAAAGACACCATTAAAGCAGATTCAGTAATTTAAAAAGCAGAGGAGGCAAACAACCTATATTTCTTAATCATTCAAAGTTTTAATTATTATCAGTAATGGATGACAGTAATCACAACTTTGGACAACAAAAGAAATGGTTAAGCTATATTTTAAAAAAGTAAGTAATAGATTGTAAGAACTTTTCCACAAGGAGTATAGCTAAACTGTTAATTCTGCATGTACTGTATTTCCCATCAACATCGGGTAAATGACACATGGCTATACACATGCCTCAGGTCAATATTTGAGAGATGGAATGATAGGCTTTATTGCCTTATCATTCCTGTTCTCTCTCTCTCTCTCTCTCTCTCTCTCTCTCTCTCTCTCTCTCTCTCTCTCTGGTGGAACTGGGGATTGAACTCAGGCCCTACTGAGCTATCTCCCTGGCCTGGTTCTGTTTTCTTTAACTCATAATTTCATATTCCTTGACCTCCTTTTATAAGGTATCCAAATTAGCACCTTCTCCTCTCAGGGGGTTGCTACCTTGTCACAAAGTATAGATCTCAAACATACACCAAAGTTCACTGACTCTAATGCATGAGCCTCTGATCTCTTACAGGATGACATATGTACCTTCAAGATTCCCTAGGTACAGACAGGCATTTCATATTTTTTTTTCCTTAAGAAAAATAAATGAGAAGATCTCCGCATTATATTTTTTTGTAGGCAGCTATAGGCTGTCATGCTGACATAAATTGGTCAGAAGCTGGTCTCAGTAGCAAAGTAAGGCCTTCTGTTCTGCACGACAGGCTCACAATAACGAATTCACTAGTCCTTGGTGATTATAGAGGCGGATTAAGGGAGGAAGCGGGGAGGGAGGGAGCAAGGGAGGGAGGGAGAGAGAGAGACAGACAGAGACACAGACAGACAGACAGACAGACACGGACAAAGAGACAGTGTGGAAGGAGGATCAACCAGAAAACTTACTTCAATTTAAGAGACAAGAGTTGATGCTACTGATACAACATTTTCAAGAGTATGAACAGCACATTTTGTAAAGGAATTTGAAACACATTTTCTGTTTTTATCAAAAGAGGACTAAACAATATCATATTTACACTAGGATATTTCTGCTTCCCTATTTTTCATCTAATGATCAACAAATATTTCCTACACAACTACTATACACTATGAGGTGTGCTATTATAACAAAATGTAGGGCTCACTGTTTTCCCAACCCAATCCACAAAACCACCTGGCACTGACATCCATGTTTAGAAGACTCTCTAAAGAGGAGGCTGAGGCAAGAAGATCACCTTGAATTCAAGGCCAGTCTGTGCTACATAGTGAGTTCAAGACCAGTCTGTACTATGGAGTAAAAAATGACCCTCCTTTTTACTATTTGTAACTATGAGCACAGAATACAAACAGCAGTCTCTTGCTTCTATTATGAGATGGTAGCAATCAACAAGAGACTACTTTTTTTTAGCTATTTTAAAAAGTTACCAATTGAAGAGCTAAAATTTCTGGTTTCAAGCTTTACACTACTGAAACAATAAACACACAAAGTGTAGGAAGCTGAAGTCTTCCCTGAAACAAAATTTCATTTAGGAATTCAAGATTTGGGGGACACAATAATTATTAATACAGTAATCTAATTTTCAATTAGATTCACACAGAATTTAGGCAAACAGTTAAGTACCTTTAGTACCTGCATCTCAGTTTCTCAATTATGTATCAGGGTGACAGACACATGCGGAAGTGCTCTACTTACACACAAGTCCCGTGTAAATTCAATTACAAAGTTTTGTAACACCAAAGCACACTGAGGTCACCAGCCCAATTTTTTAAAAAATTTATACATGCCTGTACGATGATTATAGGCATGGTTAATAAATAGCAATTTTAACTTCATCCAATTATAGGTCTATAAAATCCCAGACTTTAACAGCTAGCTCCTACATTTTTACTTCCAGGTGAGAAATGAAACTTCCAGAGGGAAAGTGGTAGCGTGTGGATGCTACTGAAATCCAGCCCTGGATCTTAGAAGCAGTTATCAAGCATCTTTCCTTTTCAAAAATGATAAATTCCTTACCCATCCCCATGCTAAGGTGGCCTGTAAACGGACCTATTCCACAACGCCCTGCCCTTCCACTTTCCATCTACAGTAGCATCTTTCTACTTATCTTCCTGTCTAGGGACTGACTGGTGACAGAAGCCTGACTAAAACGACTCTTTTGATCAGACCCCACAATCAAGGACACAGCCTGACAACAGTTCACGTTCGTCACCAATGGCAACGTTTCGGCTCGCTCTTAATCGCCCGGCTACCACACCCGGAAATGAATCTCCAGGGCAATCTACTTTGGACTAACATATCCTTCCCTTAAGTTGCGCCCCACAAGAGCGCCAGGTGCACGACCCCGAGGAGCCGGTGGTCCGTGGGCAAGGTTGTCCGCGCCTTCTGCTTCGGGCCTGCGGGCCACTTGGGCTACTCGGTCACGAGGTGGGCCCAGTGGAGACCCCGCAAGCGCGCGCTCCTCGGACGCAGCCGCCGCGGGCGGCCGGTAGGACACTAGGGCGGCACTGGGCCAGTCGCCTCTGGGGACTGCGCTCTGCTCGAGAGCTGGTCGCCACAAAGCCCCCCGGCCACCAAAGGCGGCCCCAGGTAAGGCCGCCCGCACCTCGGGCGGCCCAACAAGGCGGTAGCTGAGGCCGCATCCTTCCAGCCATGACGGTCCACAGGGACACACACCCCGGACCTGTCTCCAGGCTGCGGTGGTTCCCGCCTGGGACCTGCCGCAGCAGCCCGTAGACCACGCAGGGCACCCGCGCCCGGCTCCTCAGGGAGGCGCCCCGCCCCCCGCGGCCCCGCCGGGCGAGCGCGCGCCACGCACTGCGCCCCGCCCGTCTGCACTTTCCCGCCGGCCGCCCCGGGGCAGGGGTCGCGCGCCCTCCCCGCCCCCACGCCGCTCACCTGTCCGGCCTCAGGCTAACTCCATGGCGGCCCGCGCGGTGCGGTGCGGCCCTGGCCGCCCCCGCCGCCTCCGGGGAGGGGCAGCCCCACGCCGCTCTCACGGCCCCCAGCCGCCTTCGCCACTGCAGTTCCCGCCCACCCCCGGCCCGGCCATTCCGCGGCTGCCTCTCCCCGAGCTGAGCCGGCCGCTCCACACCCACCCCCCTCGCCTCCGCGGACCCCGACTGTTGGTACGGTCCAAGCGGAACGCCTTCCGCGCAACCAATCCAAGCGTGTACCTGGAGAAGCCCCGCCCCCGAACAGCCTGTCGGTGGGCGGCCTCCTTCCCCGCGCCACCGCGGGTTAACTCTGTCCGCCCTGGTCTCAGTCTTGCCTTCCGGTCTCCCTTGCGTATAAAACTGGCCGTAGGCTTACCGATGCTTTCTGTGTCCCCCTTTTCTCAGGCAGGTAGCTGGGCAGAGGGACTAGAGAGTTACAGTCGCTTAAGTTCTGTTTGCGAGAAGCAATTTCCATCTTTTTGCCCTTTTAATTTGTCTCCACTTGCATGAAGGTTCTGGCGACCTAAACGTACCCTCCTTTGACCAAAAGAGGACAGCCTTCCTACACGGAGCGCAAAGCATTTTTCCTTTTGACCAGAACTCCCTGCTACGCACTTCCAGTTGCATTTAACAAAAATCATGAATCGTTTTATGTTTGTCTTTGCAAACAGGTCAGTCAGATTTTGGTCCCCAGTGCCCTTACTACGCAGTAGACTCCAGATAAAAGCTTTGAATGAAAGTTTCTCCTCTTTCTTGTTTGTTTTCTGCTGACTCCGTACAGAGCATTCACTGAATCAGGCATTCATTTGTTCACTTACTGTATAGTAAGCTTGCACTTAATATGCCTGGCCTTGAAATATTACAATTATGCTACCCTAACATGTTTGTGTATATAAGGTCTAGGACGGAACTGGTCTTTTATTTTTTAGGAGCGCCAGACTGAGCTGACTTTTTAAAATTTAAGACCATATAGTTCATTGAAGTAGCAAAGTATTGGAAAAAACACTCCTTTACTGGCCACGTGATTTTTTTTTTTTCAGAACCGGGATTGAACTCAGACCCTTGTGCTTGCCAGGCAAGTGCTTATTCTACTGAGCCATCTCCCCGGCCCCTGGTTATGTGATATTGAGTGAACATTGGTTTCTTTATCTAGAAATGGGAGTATCTGCTTCACAGGATTGTTGTGAGAAATAAATTAGGAAATATGTGGGGAAAGTACTTGCAAATTATTGTGTAAAGTTAGTTGTTATGCATGCATATGTTGAGCACTTTCCAGCAGAGAAATGATTGAACTTGACACCCATCCCAGCCAATCTAGGTAGGAAGGCAGCATTCATCATGTAGGTAGCATTAATCACTGCAGGGATTGTACAGTCTGATGCAGAAGGCATCATATTAGCTTTCTACTAGATGTAGTTGAAAAGGTTTAAGGGTCATTATCCAACCAGGGAATACATAATTCTTGGGAAAATGAGCTGGACTGTGATAACCTATCTCATTTCTCTTGCAGGAGCATAGGTCTGTCTGCAGTCAGCTAGTCTCCTTGAACCTTATTCACTACATCAGAAGATCATAAAACAAAAGGGTAAGTCAATAATTCCTCCAAGACACTTTACCACTATCTTTTCTTCTCTGACAAGGACAGTGAGGATGAACTCTACCTGTCACTGCACAGGAGGTCAGTTCACCCTGCAGCCTCAGCTTTCTGGACAGATTTCTCTGTATATTTAAGGATTTTCAGAGAGGGAGGCCTCATGTTTCAGGTTGGTCACATTTCCTCTTCCCTCTTGAGAGATGGAGAGCTTGGGTACTAGCAAAATTGTCCCATCTCCTATTTTTTCCATCACCAGGCTACTTGACCCAGGCTCTATATGACTCTTTCAAACACCAGTATCATACCTGATACTCAAACCTCAATTTTCGTCCCTTCCTCCAATAACAGCATCAATAGTCTGCATATTCTAAGGGCTGCGAACCATGTAGTCTTTTAAGAAAGGACTTTGCATGACTAGCACACAGGAAGCAGCTGCATGGAATACAGGACACTTAAATTGTGTAGCACAGACTGTCTTTACTGAAAGAATCAGAGTCCAGGAAAATAGTGTGGGCTGGTTGTTGGCAGGAATGGAGGATTGAGGTGAGCAAAATAAGGATGGGAGGAGAAAGGAATAATGTGAACCAAAGTTAGGCAGTGCTATGTGAATTTATAGCCGACAGCCTGGGCAGATAATGCATGGCAGGAGAAGTGTTTATTTGCTCATTGATTCACTCATTCATACCTTCATTCATTGCATGAGTGCTACACTGAGATGCCAGACACTGAGCTAGACCCAGGTCATGCAGAGATGAATAAAGGTAGATCCCTATCCATGAGAGGCTTAATAAGCTAGGTGTTCTCACCCACGGTCAGATGATTTTGTTAAGACTCTTGTGATCTTTTTTCTTTCCATTCCGATGCTGTGTGCATTTGCAGATGTCTGATTTCATCTTTGCCTTTATCTCCCTTGTTCTTAAACCATAAGACTCTTAAAGATACAAGACTGACTTTATCTTTTTCAACCCTCACTTGTGGAGTACCTTCTCTGCACTGATATGCTACAGTGCATTCAGTTGGAACCAGAGCAGGAATCTGGCTAGCCCTCTCAGCTTTGAGGGCAGTGGACATCCTCAGCAGAGAAGGCTTGGTTACCAGCCCTCATGTAGAACCCCATCAGAGGCTTGTCCATGGTGTGCAGAATTCAGTAGGAAGCCCGCTGCTTGGCATTTACAGTCCCAGTGTGCCTTTTGTGGCCTGTTTTGGGAGTATTCCTTATTCTCTGCTCTTTAAGGCTCACTTCCTCTCCTTTTTCTCGCCCACATGGCTGTGATCATACTGTGTCTTCCTGGGGTTCTACTTTACTACCACCTGTATAAATGTGGAATTTCTCTTAATGCCCCTTGTTCATGGAAGCTTTCATGGTGTTTCCAGTTGGACTGGCTTTTCTTGACTTCTGAGAACCAGCACTTTTTATTTTTTATTTTTCTACATTGTGTTAGTATATGGTTTGTACTGAAGCCTTTGGGAATCTGATACTGTTCCCCTGGGCTACATAGTCTTCAATGCCACAGACAATGTGGTGCTGACATCTGTGTCTTCTACGGAGCCAACACTGTACATGGCCATAGTAGACATGACATGCGAGAGTCTGAGGAGAGCCAGGTGCTGCAGAGTTGGGGAACCAAACACTGGAGGCTTATTGCCTGCTGTTTTCATCATTGTAAGCATCTTCTAAAAACAGTTTCAGAATTTCTAAGTCTCTACCAATTTGTCAAGCTCCAGGACTCCAGTAGCAGTCCAGAAATCCCAAGGTATAAAAGAGAGCATTGGCTCAAGGTGTGAAAGCAACGCACATGCTCATTTTCCTTGAACCCGCAACAATGGATCCCCCTGAAACTAACTTGAGTTCTACATCAAGCAAGTTGAGGGGAGTCAGAGGGAAGCTTACCCCATTCCAGGGTGCTAGGATCCTGGGGAGAGGGTGACAGGGAGCGTTAGTGAGTGAAGAAGCACATGTACCCTTCCAGTTCTTGGCCAGGGTCATGTGCACTGTGCTCTCTGGGGACAGTGGCCTCTGCATTCCTTTCCCGTGGGAGCAATAACTTTCTTTTCATTTTGCCATCCAACTCTGCAGAGCTACACCGAGCCCTCCCCTTGGTGAATGCAGTGGACTGGCCGCTGAGACTTTCTGTGGTGTCCTGTCAGTGTAGTCTGAGTGGACATGTGTTGTACATCCAGCTTCTCCGCTGGGACATTCAGGCCATGAGTTCCAAAAGTTTTAGAAATCTTTTAGTCTTTTTCCTAGTCTGCTAATATTTTTACAAAACTAACTTACATATCCCAAAGCTCACCTATTTGAAGTGTCCAATTCAGTGTATTTTAGTAGATTTACAAAGTTGAACAGTACCATATCTAATTTTGGAACATTTTCACCATCCCCAAAATTAATATAGGCTATTTTTTAATACTGAAAATACATTTATCTATTTAAGTCTGGTTTGAAAATCTTCATATCAAGAGTGAAAGGAAGGGCCAGCCAAATAGCTCAATGGATTAAAGCACCTGCAAGCAGGCACAGAGGCTGGGGGTTCGATCCCCAGGCCTGCCGAGCTGGCCTCACCCCCACAGCACACTGAGATGGCAGTTGAGACTGGGCGTTGTGGTACGTGCCTGTAATTCCAGCTCTTGAGAGACTGTAAACAGGTAGATTACTACTTGTCTGATCTAGTAGTGAGACCTTGAACACCCTGTAGACCCTTTCCTAAATATACAAAAAAAAAAGAGCCAAAAGAAAATATAGTAAGGGGTAGGTTAAACTCCTGGAGTGAGTAAGAATGCAAAAAAATCATGGTTCTTAAGGCTATACTTAACTGCTTAACTGCCATGTATGGTGGCAGTAACTTAATAACAATTACAAGTTACTTGTTTTGTTGCATTGTGTATTATTCAGTAAATATTCAAGGTGCTATCTAACCATTTTCCAGTTTGTGGTGGCACTTTCTAATATGGCTCTTCAATGGGTTGAGCAAAGATAGTACTGCAAATGCTGGATCGCTTATTCTCCCTAGGCAGTAACTTTGTAATATGCCCAGGATGGGGTATCCAGTACACATTGTGTGTGCACATGTGTATGTGTAATGGAAACTCTTTAAATTTTATTAGCTCAATTTAGTACATGAAGTAATTGCATTAATTACTACCTGAAGTAATTGTAGTCCTATGGACATTCTGGGTTCCTCAAACTTCATTTTGTTCAAGACCCCACTCAGAAAGCCAGAAACCTCCCACCCTACGCAGGACACATGGTGAGGCATCTAGCAGAAGGCTTTTGATCCCTTCCCATGGCTGCCTCAGGGACATGCTAGAACATCATGGGATGATGGTTAAGTATCTTATACCTGTAGGCACCCCTCTCCACAATGATTTGCATTTACTATTTGTTGTGGGATGAAGTCCTAGCAAGGGTACTTTCAAAAAGCTCTTAGTTGATTCTAGTTTGCAGACAAAGCTGAGAACCACTGTCCTACTAGTAACTAAACCAGGACCACTTTAATAAATGGAATCGTGTGAAACTGCCATCTTTATAGGGCAAAGATCTGCTGAACATCAGTAATTTTTTATTGCTTGATCAGTATATGGACAACTGATTTTTATTTTGTGGAGAATATGGGTAGGTTGGTTTTTTTGTGGGGAGGGCAGTACATTGTTCAGAGAACCAGTCTTCCAGAGAAATGGATCCTACAGTAAGCAAGAATGAATGATATGACAGGAAAGACAGTGTTCTGTGTAGTCACTTCATGGACTGGACTTGTGGTCTGGATGTAGAAGGGCAACAATTTAATACAGACTCATAATTTATAGGATTATTTTATAATATTCATCTTAATAGTCAAATGCAAAAGACAAGAGATCTGTCCATACATTAGAGACCCCAAGAATATAGTTGAGGGCCTGGATCTTATGGCAATGTCCTGTACAAATCCAACTGAAGACCTAGAGCTCATGACAATGTCCCCCACAAGTCCAGCTGGAGGTCTAGAGCACATGACAGTGTCTCCTGTAAGTCTCTTTCAAGGATCTCTGCTAGGAAGGCCCAAAGGCCAGTGGTGGTTGCCAGAAAGTCAAAGGATCTGTGCCAGCAGGTTGAAGGATCTGTATCAGCACGTTGAGGGATCTGCACCAGAGCTAGGAAGTGACGCTCAAAGTAAGGACCAGAGCTTCCCTGAAAAGAACTGAATCCACCCTCAGCCACAGTAAAGTCCCAAGCTCCTCCAATGATAACAGCTAAGTTCATATCAAGAAAGCCAGTGTGACAGGTTTCTCTAGGAGAATCAATAGCACCACCTCTTCCTCCCCAGTTCTCCTTTTTATGCTGTTTGCAACAATCCTGGAGTGGGTGCTCCACTCCAGAACCATACTGATTAAGTTCAGCTGGGTGTTACAAGTTGCCCATTAGTCTACTACAGGACTCCCTACATCTTTTCTTCTAGTGTGTCCTAAATGTTTAGAAGCCTGGAGTTGGCAGACATAAAGGGAAATGAGCAAAGAAGATTAAGGATAGGACAACCACAAATATTAGAAATATGATGAAACAGGGAATCTGGCATCATCTTCAGAAATGGGGGGGAGGGGAGAGTAGGGGAGGAGAGAGGAGAGAAGGAGAAGAGCGGAGTCATTCAACATTTGAGACACACTCTGATAAATGCATTTTTAAGTGACTTCATTCTTGTGTGACCATCATAGAATATATATATATATATATATATATATATATATATATATATGCTAAGGTAGATATGATGTCACTAGGTGATAGGGTTTTTTCAGCTCCATTACAATGTATGGGACCATTATTGTATATGCATTCTGTCATTGACTGAAACATTGAACATTGTCATGTGGTGCTTAACTAAGTACATATTTAGTTAAATGTGTATATACTTAAATACAGATTAGACCATTGTCATGGTTTGGGTTTTTTGCAAGGGGAACAATATAGGAAACGTTTTATAATATTTTATAAGGAATCACCCAAAGAATCATATACAAGAAGTGCATAAGAAGTACAGGAAATCTGTCCACACATGAAAGAAGGAAGAATCCAGCTGAGGGCCTGGATCCTAATATCCTGCGTGAGTCTAGCTGAAGACCTAGAGCCCATGACAGTGCCTTCCACAAGTCCAGCTGGAGGCTGACAGCCCATGACAAAGCCTCACACAAGTCCACTTCACAGATCTGTGCTGGAAAGGCCCAGAGGTCAGCGATGGAAGCTAGATAGTCTATGCTAGTAGGATGAAGGATCTGTGCTAGCAGGCTGAGGAATCTGTACTGGAGCCAGGAAGCAGCACTCAAGGTAAGCACAGAGCTCCCCACAAGAGGACCACAGCCATTCTCAGCAACAGTGATATCCTGAGCTCCTCCAGTGATAAGAAAAGCAGAGTTCTCATCAGGAAAGCCAACATGACAAGCTTCTCTAGGAGGCAGAGGAATGTACCATCTTCCCCTCCAGAGCTGGGAAGTGATGCTCAAGATGAGGGCCAGAGCTCCCCCAAATTGCTACGGAATCAGAGCTTCCACAGCCATTCTTAGGGACAACGAAAGTCCCAAGCTCTTCCTCCAAGAATAGCCAAGTTTATCAGGAAAGCCAGTATGACAAGTCCTCCAGCAGAATAGCCCAAGAGAGCCAGCAGCTCCCAGTAGCTTCTCCAACCGTGTTGCTAACAGCCTCTTGACACCCCTCCAGTTCTGCTTTTTATGTTGCTGGCAACAATCCTCAGGTGGACCTCCCACACCCAGAACCATGCTAGTTCAAGTCAGCTGGGTATAACAAGTTGACCACCAGTTAGAAATCCACTACAGCCATCTATGGATTGGTATCTGGTCCTCAGTCCTTGAGTTTGTGACTATTCTAGAAGGCAGATGTTTGTGGAACAAGGAGATGGCCCAGAATAAAGATGCTTGACGTGGTGGGACTATAAACCCAGGGAGAAAGGAGTCAATATCTCACTAACAAGAATGGCATGCCCCAGGGAAAATTGGGGAGCATGAGTGGGGGGCCCTTGAGGTAAGGCAGATGTTATGGTTTGTATCTGGATGTCTCCCCAAAGCCTCATGTGCATGGGCGGTGGGCTTTTTAGAAGTGGCTGAATCTAGAGTTTGTGATTGGTTCATTGTCTAGTGCTGAATTAAGGGTGAGTGATTGCTGGATCAGTCCAGTGATTGCATGGGCCCCCCCTAATCACAGCAGTCTGGATAAGGACAAAATGGGTAAAAGTCTTATTCCCCCTTCCCTTTTTCCTCTTGTTCTTTAAACTCTTCTGACGCCATATACAGTTGCCCCTCAGCTATGCCACCCTGCCTTGGAGCCAGCCAACTATGGAGTAAACCCTCTACAAACTGTAAGCTAAATAAACCTTTCCCTCTTTAACTTTGGGTGTCAGGTATTTTGTCCCAGCAATGAGAGAAAAGTAACTAAGGACAGAGGGACAGGGCAGCCACGAAGAGTGTATACAGGGACTTTAAGTGATAATAAAAGCCCTGTCAGAAATTGCTAATACCAAGCCGTTATTTTCTCCATGGCAAGGCCTATGAGGAAGAAAGAAAAATAGTTTGACAGTGCCCAAGACACCCTCAAAGCTGTTTCTCTGTTTTGTTCTGGGTTCTAATTTAATGTTACCCAGCCAAGCCAGGAAACCATTTATCTTAGACTCTTCTTGCGCACCCCACTGTGGTCAGCACCTAGTTGTGTCGGGCTTCCAAAGACCCTTTGGATCCAGCTCCTTCCTCTGGCTGCCCCCAGTGTGTTCAGGCTCCATTTCTTTCCCTCTGGATTATGCCAGAGGGAAATTCTGTGGGCTAATTCTGTGGGCTATATTGACCTGGCCATAGGGGTCCCAGGTATCTAGCTAAGCCTTAGTTCTTGGCATACCATGAAGGTGTTTCCAGAAGAGATCAGCACTGAACTGGTGAAGTGAGGAAAGCATGTGGCCTTCATCTAACCTGCTGAGGGTCTGAGTCGAACAAAAGCAGAGAAATGTTAAATGTGCTCTCTGCCTGGATGCTTGAGCTGAGACATCAGTCTGCCTTCAAAACCTACTGTTTTAGGTTTTCAGGAATGAACTGGAATCTACTTGCGTATTTGAGCCACATTACTGAATTTCCTAGATTCTACAACTCCTCAGCCTCTTTAATTCCATCAACACCTTGTGATAAATTAAGAAAGAGAAAGAAAAAGTATGGGTGTGTGTGAGGGGAGAGATCTATCACAGTGGTAGCTCAGTTCAAACCTAATTCATTCCATGATTCTGGAAAAGATGGCCATGTTTGGTTTGTGTGGGAAAGAAGACCACAGTTCTCTGTTCATCACCCAATTCAGAGCTGGCAAAGAAAAACAGAATTTTGCCGAACATTTCTGTTTGAGAACCAAATTCTTCAAAAAAGCATTTGGGAACCGAGGTAACACAAGTCCTATTTTGATGCAGAACCCAACTAGGCAGATTTGATGAAATGGGCTAAATATTTGTGTTCCTCACAAATTTACATATATATATATTTTAGGGAAGGGTCTAGAGGGTGTTCAGAGTCTCACTACTAGATTGGACTCGTCGTGATCCGCCTGTTTACAGCTTCCCAAGAGCTGGGATTACAGGTGTGTGCCACCATGCCCAGTCTCAATTGCCAGCTCAGTGCGCTCCAGGGGCAGGGCCAGCACAGCAGGCCCGGGGATTGAACCCCCAGCCCCTGCACCTGTTTGCAAGGCAACAAATTTATATGTTGAAGCCTAAATCTCCAGTGTGGTGGTATGTGGAGATGGGGCTTCTGGGGGTAGCTGTGTTATGAGTTAAGAACTCTCATGAATGGGATTAGTATCCTTTTAAGAAAAGACAGAGAGGTGGCCTCTCTCTTGTTTCCTGCCCTATGAGGTCAAGGTGGTCATTTGCAAATGACAAAGCAGGCCATTGCCAGGCACCCTATATCTGCTGGCACCTTGATTTTGTATTTTTCCAGCTTCCTGATCTGTGAGAACTAAATCTGTATGTATGGTCATCTGTCAGAGCAGCCTCCCCCCATGCAATCTATTCCACATAATCATTATGGAATATACTTCTAGGAAGATCTTTCAAAAACGAAACCATAATCGTATACCTGCTTACAACTTTTAAGGACTCGAGGAATAAAGCCCAAAGTTCTTAACAGAGCATATGTACTCTCAAAGCCTTTGGAGTCAGGGTAGAGTTTCAACTTGATTGGCTTTGGGATCCACACTGGGGATTGGTGGAGCACACATTCATGTATGTCTGGGGGACCGTGGAGGTGAGCTTGGTAACATACACACTGTCCAGCCCCTTCCTGTCTGGCTCTCTTCCCCTGTTCTGCTTCCCAGCAGTCATGAGCTAAACAGCTTTGTTCTACCATGTCCTTTCACCATGCTGTCTTTGCCTTGGATCCTATTGTAGTCTGGGGTTTTTGCAAGGGAAAACAATGCAATACAGAATAATTAATTATAAGATTATCTTATAATAGCCACCCTAAAAATCATATACAAAGAGAGTGCAGGAAATCTGTCCACACGCTAAAGACCAAATAATCCAGTTGCGGGCCTGGGTCCCACAGTAATGTCCTGCATGTTTCCCCCTGGAGGCCTAGAAACCATGACAATGTCTCATACAGGCCTTTTTCATGAATATACACTGGGAAGACCCAAAGGTCAATGATAGAAGTTAGAAAATCTGTACCAGTGGGATGAAGGATCTGTGTTAGGCTGAGGGATTTGAACTGGAGCCAGGCAGCAACACTCAAGGTAAGAACCAGAGTGTGCCCCAAAAGTACCATAGCCATCCTCAGCAACAGTGATGTGCCAAGCTCCTCTGACAAAGAGGACAACCAAATTTCCATCATGACAAACTTCTCCAACAAACTGAGGCTGTGTACTGTTGTCTCTTCCAGAGCCAGGAAGTGATGCTCAAGGTGAGGACCAGAGTTTGCCCAAGGTGAACTGCAGCCATCCTCTGACGAGATCCTGAGCTCCTCCTCCAGTGAGAACAGCCAAGTTCATCAGGAAATCCAGCATGACAAGGTTCTCCAGCAGAACAGCCCAAGAGAAAAAGCTTCCAACAGCTTCCCTAACAGGACAGTTGGCTGGATCTAGCTTCTCTAGTTTTGCCTCTTTTTGTACTGAGGATCAAACTCAGGACCTTGTGCTTGCCAGGCAGGTGCTTATGCTGCTGGGCTATCTTGCTGGCCCTCTAATTCTGCCCTTTATGCTGCTGGCAGTATCCTCAGGTGGACCTCCCACACCCAGCACCATGCCAGTTCAGTCCAGCTGATTGTAACAAGTTGACCACCAGTTGGAAATCCACCACAAATGCTTTTAAAACTGTTTACAGAAAAGAAGCTAACTAGTACAGCAATTAACCACTAAGAAGAATATATGCAGTGTATTATTTTTTGAAACTGTACTTTCGATTTGATTTGAAACTGTCTCATTGCTATATGTTTATCAATAAAACTTTGAAAAGAAAAAAGAAAAAAGTAACATAGCTTAAAAAAAAGAAAAAGAAAAGAAGCTAACCCCCAAAAGACCAAGGAGGAAAACATTTAATAACAGTTGGGCAACATTATCTGATGGCAACAATAAAAATGTTACATTTCATCCTTTCAAGGGCCTGAAATGTCTTAGACTCTTCTCTTTGCTGAGACAAAATATCTCACACCCAGGAGTTGGAGGAGGAAAGGTTGATTTGGGCTCACAGTTTGTAGAGGTTTCAGCCTATAGCTCTCTCTAAGGCTGGATAGCATGGTGGAGGGACATTACAGAAGAACAGCCCATGGCAGAGCAGGCAAGAGACAGCTAGCAGCAAGCAGCAGCAGCCTGTCTTCTTTTACTCCCTTTATAAGGTGTTGTTGTTTTTTTTTTTAATGTCTTTGGTACAGGGTCTCATTACACAGGTCAGACTTGTAGTGATCTTCCTGTTTTTAGCCTCTCCAGTGCTGGACAGGCATGTGCCACCACTCCCGGTCTTGGTGGCTCAGCATGCCCAGGGGCAGAGCTGGCAGGGTATGTGATGCCAGGGATTGAACCCAGTCACTGTGCTTGCCTAAGTAGGTGCTTAGTCTACTGTGCTATCTCACTAGCCCTTTTAGAAGTCTTTTGAGTGGTGCTACACACACCCAAATTGGGCCTCCCTGTTATCACACCCAGAACTATGATAGACCAATAAGCAAACTGTTCCAGTACCATACACTTTTAATCCCAGTGTCACACATCCTAGATCCAGCCACCCCCCAAAAGCCCCACCTATGAGCACATGAGGCTTTTGGGAACATCTAGATACAAGCTATAACACTGAGTAATGAAATCAAATGAACTGACTTTGGATTTAGCCCAGTATCCTCATTTTCTAGTGCAGAAGTAACTACAGAGTTGAAGTAACTTGTCCACAATTACAGTTTGTCAGAGTAGAATCAATAAGAATCTGGATCCCAAGTCATATCTCCTATGTACCACTGGATGTGGCACTCTAGTAACCTAGGAACAGCTTCTCACCTCACCTACCTCCTGCTATCAAAAAGGAGTTCAGAAGTCTCTCTGCATCTGGATGAAGATTAGCTATTTCAGCAGCATGGATCAATATTGTTAAATGGTATAGACACTATGGTTTCCTCTTCTCCCTGGTGGAGGGCTGGTCTTATCAGACAGTTTCTCAGCTTTCTGTGCAGAACTGTTTTTGGTTTTTTGGAGCCAACTGGATCTAAGGTATATGATACTGGGATTAAGGATGTATAGTACTAAATTACTCCACTGATTGGAAGTAGCATAGTTCTGGGTGTGTGGCTGAATGGATTTACTGAAGACAGACACCCTGGGTATAGGAGGTACCAATCAATAGGCTTGCAGCTTGGATGGGATAAAAGGGAAAGGGGGTTGTTGCTGCTTCACTGCCTCCTCCCTGCTTTGCTAGAGTGTTTCTCCTCTGTAGTGGCCCTCTGCCATACCACCAAGTTACACACCCTGTGTTGGAGCCCACAGACTGTGGACTCTATTACTATATAATGGGTGCAAAATTTCAGTTTTGCAAGAGGAAAAAAGTTGTGAAGGTGGCTGGTGGTGATGGTCATTCAGCATTTGAATATATTTAACACTATTGAATATATAGAGATTTTTAAAAGGAGAAAGATGAATTATAAACACCCAACTTCCTACTTTTGGATGTCACTTTGTAAAGAGGCTATACGTACAGTTTAGCAACAATGTTACAGTCATGATGGTAGAAACTCAGATCTCTCTATATCATCTCACCCCAGAAAGAATGGCTATCATAAAGAAATCACCCAACAACAAATGTTGGAGAGGCTGTGGGGAAAAAGGAACCCTTCTGCATTGCTGGTGGGAATGTAGACTGGTACAACCGTTATGGAAATCAGTATGGAGACTCCTTAGAAAAGTTGGTCTAGAAATCCCATTTAAACCAGCTATTCCTCTACTGG